GTGTTATGAGCATTAAGGAAAAGTTTATTTATGCTGTATGGTTTGGCTGGCTGAGAGATTGGCAAGATCATACCAACTGAAATTGAAACACTGTTTAAGTAGCATTATCAACAAAAATGTAAAAATTAATTAGAACCCCAGCGTGTAAATTTTATAGTAATTGTCATGTGTGCCTTGTGACCATACCTCAAGAATAGACCATCAGTGTACCAAGTCGTATTCAAACGTTGTGGCAGTACAACTCAAAAATGCAGATGACCTCCCAAAAAAAATAATTTTGCAATCTCAGAGCATTGACTTTTAGTTATCTACTATCAATTCAGATTTTTTAGCATTTTTATCCACCTTGTGAACCCATTATAAATTTTTTCGACTCTAAATGGAGTTGTGACCCATAGGTTGACTAAAACTGACCTAACGTATTACTGTTTCTTTTTGGAACTCAGCCTGCAGCTTAAAAAAAAAGGTCAATAATTTCTGCAGAATTTGCCTATTGTTTTGCAAGATGCATTGTTTGTGCAACATGTTGCTGATTTGTTCCCTTCATAGGGCTGAGGATTGTACCATCTACTGTATTTCTTGGATTTCAGCCCTATGTCATAGGGGATTTGACTACAATTTAAATTTTGCTAGAGAAAAAATAAGCACACTCTTTACAAAACCATTTTTGTTTAAATATATAAATTTGTTATGCAGTTAGTACAATAGTAAAAAGTAAAATACAGGAACACAACCAAAAAAAAAAATTACAAAGAAAAGCAGAACTTCCTCAGAAGATGTATTGTATACAAGTCACTTGCCTTTTCCAGGACATTGAAAATTTGAATGTAACAGCATGGTTCTTAACCCTTTGACGCATGGTGGTCGCGCCCTGAAACCACCAATTTTTTTCTCCTCTTCCTTCCGAAATTTTTAAGTGAAAATGAATTGATTACTGATGTTTTACCTCTGCAGAATCATACATGTTTTAGGTCCTAGTATTTCAAATTGGATGCCTTTTAAAATTCGTTTTCAATGAGACAAAATAACTTCCTTTTATTAATATAAACAAATTTAAATTTCAAAAGTTATTCATCACACATCATGATTTCTATCATAACCAATAAAAAAATAGCAATAATTAAACTGCATATATATATATATAAAAAAAAAAAAAAAAAACCTTTATATGTATGTCTTTTCTTTTGTGGTTTCAGGGCGCGACCACTCACCACTAGGGGCTCGGTGGTCGCGCCTTGAAACCACTGCTCTTCACAATGGCATTTGCTTGCTTCTCAAATAGGAATGTTTATTTTTACCCAGATATAGATAAGGGATTTTGAAACCACAGAGTTATTTTATTACTAAACAATACATGCACTGTCCAGTAAAAAGGTCTTTCTTTTTCAGAGACTTTTCTTTGACCTCAACACACTTACTCCCTAATCTAGTATTGTGATTTTATAAATTATATTCTTTGGTTTGAATTTAATGTAAATATACTCTGCTATAATTAAAAATAGAAATCGCTTAAAGTGTTCTTTGAATTTAAAATATTTTCTGAATATTTTGGGATGAAATACGAATAAAATAAGTATGAATGGGAAACGAATGATCTGTACCAAAGCCAAAAAAGACCAAGCCCCCTCCCCATTAACATAAAAAAAACTCCACAAATTTCATGTGCCAGATGAAAAGAAACTAGATAACGCTGGACATATACCAGTGAAATTTAGATCCAATCAGTGTGCATTTTGTAGCATAAAAAAGAAACCTCATAGGAGAAGATACATGTGTGAAACGTGCAATGTGGGTCTATGCATGTACCAAAAAGATGAAACATGCTGTCACAAAAAATATTTGTTCTTGATTTCATTGAATTATATTTTCTTACAAAGAGGATCAACATCTAATTAAGTAGTTTTTTATTATTATTATTATTATTAGGAAGATTTTGTTATTGTTAGTCTATAGCAGCTTAAGATTTGCTCTTTTTACCTAATTTAATGTTCATCTTTCAATCAGGCCAGTACTGTGTTTTGTAGGAAAGCTGTTGTTTTCTGAAGCTGAAGTATTTCTCCATGAATTAGCTCTTTTTTGGTTTTTTTTTAGTTTGAAACCTTAATAGTGGCAACTGCTGCATATATGCCATGAAACGGAACCAGTGCTTCTCATTTAGACCACACACTAATTTGATACCTAACCCCCTCTTACAATAAATGAACTTTCTTCCAACTCTTTGTGCATACGCCATTACAAGTCATTCATAAATTGACAGGCTACAATTTTTTTCAGAATCGCAACTCCAGAGTGTTAGAAATGCTGAAGATGCTTAATGGTGTTATGAGCATTAAGGAAAAGTTTATTTATGCTGTATGGTTTGGCTGGCTGAGAGATTGGCAAGATCATACCAACTGAAATTGAAACACTGTTTAAGTAGCATTATCAACAAAATGTAAAATTAATTAGAACCCCAGCGTGTAAATTTTATAGTAATTGTCATGTGTGCCTTGTGACCATACCTCAAGAATAGACCATCAGTGTACCAAGTCGTATTCAAACGTTGTGGCAGTACAACTCAAAAATGCAGATGACCTCCCAAAAAAATAATTTTGCAATCTCAGAGCATTGACTTTTAGTTATCTACTATCAATTCAGATTTTTTAGCATTTTTATCCACCTTGTGAACCCATTATAATTTTTTTCGACTCTAAATGGAGTTGTGACCCATAGGTTGACTAAAACTGACCTAACGTATTACTGTTTCTTTTTGGAACTCAGCCTGCAGCTTAAAAAAGGTCAATAATTTCTGCAGAATTTGCCTATTGTTTTGCAAGATGCATTGTTTGTGCAACATGTTGCTGATTTGTTCCCTTCATAGGGCTGAGGATTGTAACATCTACTGTATTTCTTGGATTTCAGCCCTATGTCATAGGGGATTTGACTACAATTTAAATTTTGCTAGAGAAAAAATAAGCACACTCTTTACAAAACCATTTTTGTTTAAATATATAAATTTTGTTATGCAGTTAGTACAATAGTAAAAAGTAAAATACAGGAACACAACCAAAAAAAAAATACAAAGAAAAGCAGAACTTCCTCAGAAGATGTATTGTATACAAGTCACTTGCCTTTTCCAGGACATTGAAAATTTGAATGTAACAGCATGGTTCTTAACCCTTTGACGCATGGTGGTCGCGCCCTGAAACCACCAATTTTTTTCTCCTCTTCCTTCCGAAATTTTTAAGTGAAAATGAATTGATTACTGATGTTTTACCTCTGCAGAATCATACATGTTTTAGGTCCTAGTATTTCAAATTGGATGCCTTTTAAAATTCGTTTTCAATGAGACAAAATAACTTCCTTTTATTAATATAAACAAATTTAAATTTCAAAAGTTATTCATCACACATCATGATTTCTATCATAACCAATAAAAAAATAGCAGTAATTAAACTGCATATATATATATATAAAAAAAAAAAAAAAAAAAAAAAAAAACCTTTATATGTATGTCTTTTCTTTTGTGGTTTCAGGGCGCGACCACTCACCACTAGGGGCTCGGTGGTCGCGCCTTGAAACCACTGCTCTTCACAATGGCATTTGCTTGCTTCTCAAATAGGAATGTTTATTTTTACCCAGATATAGATAAGGGATTTTGAAACCACAGAGTTATTTTATTACTAAACAATACATGCACTGTCCAGTAAAAAGGTCTTTCTTTTTCAGAGACTTTTCTTTGACCTCAACACACTTACTCCCTAATCTAGTATTGTGATTTTATAAATTATATTCTTTGGTTTGAATTTAATGTAAATATACTCTGCTATAATTAAAAATAGAAATCGCTTAAAGTGTTCTTTGAATTTAAAATATTTTCTGAATATTTTGGGATGAAATACGAATAAAATAAGTATGAATGGGAAACGAATGATCTGTACCAAAGCCAAAAAAGACCAAGCCCCCTCCCCATTAACATAAAAAAAACTCCACAAATTTCATGTGCCAGATGAAAAGAAACTAGATAACGCTGGACATATACCAGTGAAATTTAGATCCAATCAGTGTGCATTTTGTAGCATAAAAAAGAAACCTCATAGGAGAAGATACATGTGCGAAACGTGCAATGTGGGTCTATGCATGTACCAAAAAGATGAAACATGCTGTCACAAAAAATATTTGTTCTTTGAAAAAAAAAAAAAAAAACTTTTTTTTTTTTTTTTTTTTTTTTTTTTTTAAATCCTTATTTTACTGAGTTTTGTAATCCATGTAGCCAAACGTCCTTATTATGTAGATACTTATATTTTCACTGCTGTAGAAAAATTGCATAAAAGTTTATTTTTAATTTTTTCTGATGATTTACTTTGTAAAATAATGTAAAATATATATATATTATGCAATTCTACATACATTTTTTTTTAATTCGTAAATTTTGTCATTTATTGGAAACGCGGACAGAGAAAGGTAAGTTTTTTTTCCTACATCCTAAGCGAGTTTTAAAGTCCTAGATGCGCAGTGGTTTCACAGTGCGACCACATCCCACAGAACAATGGGCAAGAGCAGATTTCTTTTAATTCATCTATTATTTATCTATAGGGTCATAATATTCAATTTCTAGTTTTTAGTTAAAAAAATTATAAAAATAATATTGTGCGTGTCAAAGGGTTAAACCTGCGGAATTTCTGATATAATTTATCTTGATATGATGCAGAAGAGTTGATTGCATTGAAAGAGGATATTCTAAATGGTCCCATCTAATGTATGCAGTCTTGTTTATATGAAAAACATTTCAATATTACTTTATCAAAAATAAATGTGCAACAAGTCTGTAGAAATACATACATATTGTTGTCATTAAGTTATACGTATGTATTATCTATATCAAAGTATGAATTTTTTTTGTAACATTATAAACCAGAAACATTCAGATGTTGAATTCAAAATCTAAATTTTTTTTAATGTTTTTATTATGCATGATGTTTTTAGATCTTAACTGTATTGAAATTAAACTGTATTTACAGATGACTCCTCCAGCCTGGGCTTTTCAAACTGAGCATTTTGAGCCACCTCCAGATGATGAACTAATATGCAGTGTTTGCCGTGGAGTATTTTGTGAACCTGTACAATGTCCTTGTCACCATGTTTTTTGTCGAGCATGCATTACAAAATGGCTTCAGACAAACCGTAACTGTCCTGTTTGTCGCAAACGTGCAACTAATTATTGCATTGAAGAAGTTGTTCCTTTGATTAGAAATATGATTATGAAACTGACCTTGCACTGCCGCAATTCAGAGCATGGCTGCAGAGAAAAATTTGCACTTGAAGGCTGTGAAAATCATATGAAAGAATGCATTTATGAGATGGTGCGATGCAAAAATAAGCCTTGTAGGCATGAATGTTTTCGCAAAGATATAGCTGATCATGAACTTAATGGCTGTCTACATCGTTATGTTAGATGTGAAACATGCTGTATGAAGATATCTTCTGTTTCACCTAACAGCCATGACTGCATCAGAGATCTCAAGCTGCTACTTAAAAGTAATTTTTATTTTATTTAAATAAAAATTACTAAAATTAAATAAATTACTTAAAAGTAATTTATTTAATTTTTATTCTGCATTTGTATTTCACTGATATAAGATTTGAAGTATCAATACTTTTCTGTTAATGGGTGCCAGATTTGGTAGCTTGTTTGTATTACATCATGAGTAGCTGTGCAATATTTTTAATGTGCATGATGCCAGTATTAATGTGCTGTGCCAGTTTTTAATATGCATAATGCAGTATTCTCTGATGCTTTTTTTTAAGCAGCTGTGTGTGGGGGAGAAGTCTTATTTTCCCCATGTTATAGCATGGTCTGTTTTTGCTTAAACAAAACATCAGAGAAGTAAACAAATTTGGCACTGCACACTTGAACGTTTTATATACACTAAAGTGACAAAAGTCATGGGATACCTCCTAATATTTTGTCGATCCTTCTTTTGCCAGGCGAAGTGCAGCAGCTCGACGTGGCATGGACTCAACAAGTCGTTGGAAGTCCCCTGTAGGAATGTTGAGCCATGCTGCCTCTATAAACATCCGTAATTGTGAAAGTGTTGAGGGTGCAGGGTTTTGGGCACGAACTGACCTCTCCATGATGTCCCATAAATGTCGATGGGCTCGGGCGATCTGGGTGGCCAGATCATTTGCTGGAATTGTCCAGAATGTTCTTCTAACAGGGGTGTTTGTGCTCCGGGGAAACCCTGGAATTCTGGGGATTTTGAACTTTGATACCCGGAAATTCCGGGGATCATCGTTCAAAAGGAAGTAGGAATAATAATGAATTATTTATTTTGATCTGGGTAATTTTGTTTGCTTTGAAAGCAGAAAACGCAAGGTCAGTGTGTGTGGTGAAAACTTTTCCTTTCTTTCTCCAAAGGCAGTGATAATGTGTAAAAAGGGGGAAAATTCCTTATTGCGAGTTATGACTCATGCCCCAGTTCTCGGACATTCTCTTCGGCAAGTAGGCGCGGCAGAAAAAAAAGGGAGAGATTTCGTTCGACCAGATGTGCGATCACGTGATTCTGGGTTCAAAGGTCTTATCTCTCCTGGCGTGGCGCCAATAAGTAGAGAAGGGGGATTTTTCGCCGTATTAGCTATTTGTTATTGATCGCTTCTCAACTTTTTTTCTCCGCTGTGTAAAATTTTCGTTTCATTTATTGATGCACGTGTAAATTTTTCGTTTCGTTTATTGAAATATTTTTTTATTTATGTACGCAAGAGAATTTCACTATGAAATTTCTCGATATAAATAGTGATATTATACAATTAGAAGAAGGTGTCCGGAATGCATTTAGGTGGAATTGGATTGAACGGAGAGATGGTAATGGGGATACCATCGGCACATGGTGCAAGAAAATAAATGTTGCTGGACAAGCATATTGTGTTTTTTGTAACTCACTGCTGAAGTATGGTGGGGAAGGATTCAAGGCTTTCACAAATCATTCTAAAACTGTGACGCACATAAAATATTCAAAGTGCATTAGACATTCAATGACTTTAAGTAATTATGCTAATTCAAAAAATACTGATGACTTACTGGAGACTGATGCTCGGCCATTGGATATAGTGACAAGAAAAGCACGCCAAGAGGTATTAATAACTTCGTTTATCGCCGAGAATTCTCTTTCTTTCAATGTAGCTCCCAATTTAATTGAACTCTGCAAACAGTTGAGCCGCGATCAGACGGCACTAAACTCGTTGGAAATGTCCAGGACTACTGCATGTTATAAGATGAAATATGGGCTCGCAAAAAACTATTAAGGAAAATATCATTAAAACTTTAAAGGAGACTCCATTTTCTCTAAATTTGGATGAAAGTACTAGCAATGCTCAAGAAAGTATACTGGCAATATTGGTGCAGTTTTATGACAACAATCAAAATGAAGTTGTAGTTCATCATTTTGCATCTCTAAAGATGGAATCTTGCAATTCAGAAGCTGTTTTTAAAGCAGTTGTTAATACTATTGAAGATAATAATATTCCATGGGCAAACTTAATTAGTGTATTAATGGACTCATGTAACACCATGCGTGGAAAAAAAAAGGGTGTTGAAACCAGACTACGATCAAACAAAGCACCCCACTTATTAGATATTGATGGTGACACATGTCACACAGCTAATAACTGTGCAAAAAAAATTTGCTTCATGTTTTGATAGATACTTAGAAGATTTGTTTGATGACATCTATTTTGATATGAAAAGCTGCAGTAAAAGAGAAAATTTTTTCAAAATCTGTGAATCCCTTGCCATTAAAAAACTTAAGCCCTTGAAGAGACCAGACCATAGGTGGGTGTACATTTTATGTGTTTTAGAAAGAATCAAAGATCTGTGGGATGCTCTTATTGCATTTTATTTTCACTACTTGGATAAAACTGATAAAGGGGATTATTTTTCTTATGTTGAAACTGTATACAATAAAAGAAATATTTCTGCAGCTCAGAAAAAAATTGTTGAAGGGGTGTATTCTTGCTTGCATTCCCAACAACTCACAAAGGATGCTTTAGCTCGGAAAAAAAAAAAATACTAAATGGGTTATTTGTTATGCAAAACAAAACTTTATTGCATATGGCATTATATTCAGCAGTATTACCAGAGTTCAACACATATATTAAATTATTTGAAACAAAAAAAAACCAATGCTTCATTTAATACATTCCAGTATTTATAAATTGATGGCAAAATTTTTCTCTTTTTTTATGAAGCCAGAAAATATAGAGTGCACATCTTATAATGATTTATTAAAGGTTGATGTCACAAATCCAGAATTCCATCTACCTAGCAAAGTAATATTTACTGGTGCAGAAGCTTCCACTCTCCTGAAGAAATTATCAAAAAATCATCCAATAGCAAAAGAATTCCAAATTTCTCTGATGAAAGCTTATACTAATACAGCACAGCATATGAAACAGAAATTACCCCTTAAAAATTCATATCTAATTAGTTTTACAGCATTAGATCCAGAGCTAAGAGGTAAAACCAGTACAATATTAGCTTTTGAAAAATTATCATCTTTTATGTCCCATATTTTTAGTGATAATGAAAAGTCAAAAGTAGAAGCTGAAATAAGGTTATACCAGAGTGATATTGATATCACCAAAGAAATGCTCTACACACATCTGATGAAAGTGGAAATCAAGTCAAGTGTACAATTGATAAATATTGGTCTAAAGTTTTTAATTTAAAAAGATGATTTCACAAATGATTATAAGTATCCTACATTGGCTAAATTGGTCAAAGCCTGCCTTAGCTGCTTCCATGGCCCATTAGTGGAAAGTGCATTCAACTTAATGGATACACTTGTCACTGACTATAGAACCTCTCTTAAGATTGATTCCCTAGATGCAGTGCAGACTATTAAATATGATTTAATGGCTTCTAAAGAAACCTCATGTGAAAAATATGGCTCAAAAAAATCCAATGACTGATCCAATTCACAAAGATCTCTTACTGAATATGAACAGAAGTTGGAAAACATATCAAGAGGACTTAAAAACATGTATTTCAGATGAGTCACCTATAAAAGTCTCTGAAAAACCTTCTACATTAGCAGAAAAGCAAACTGCTTCTACCTCTGCATGTGCAGTTCTCGAGGAAATTTCTTCAACTGTAAATGAGGAAAATAAAAGTCAACCTTCCTGCAATTATGAAGTTCACCACAAAAGAAAGACAAGCCCACAAACATCAGAAAATAAAAAAAAAGCAGCAGAAATTAGATAATTTTTTTTAAAGAATTAATTCAGGTAATTTAAAATATTTACATAAAATGTAGTAGTTTATATGTTTGAAAATTTATGGTTATTAATTTTGCAAAAA